ACCCTGTACACACAAACTAAAGTATTAGTGTCACCCTGTACACACAAACCAAAGTATGATTGTTTTCTGCACACACAAACCAAAGTATGATTGTGACTTTTATTCGTCACATTCCAAACAGTTGGATCTGTTGGACCAGTGTGTTCATTTATGGACCTAGCTAGTGATCTGAAGTACTTTCTGGCAAGCCATAGGGCAAATATTTTCTAAGGCCTGCTTTAATTTGTGTAGCCCTCTCTGTCTTTATCCCTGAAATTCTAAATTTGAAAATGGATGAATCTATCTGCATCAATTAACATACCCCAAGGCTTATAAGGTTCCACCCTACACAAACCAAAGTATCGCTTTATGCACAAAGTGAAACCAGCATATTTGGTCTAGTTAACTTCACCTTGATATAAACCCTGTAGATCACTGCTTTAATGTTTTGTTTAATCAGTGCTGTATGTGAATATTAACTGATGCCTTCAGTCATTAAATGCTTTGATAACATGATCACTCCTACATTTAATATCTAATCAATTGTGATTTCCTGTTTCACAGGTTCTTGGAATAAACGACAATTATGAATTAAGATCGCCACTTCACCTAGTGGCTGAGAAGGGAGATAATTCATTGCCAATGTTGCACATTCTGCTCGGCTGTGAAAAGACTAAGGTGGATCTGAGAAGTGAAAGTGATCGTAAGTTACCATGTACAAGTAAACCATACTTGGTGTATTTAAACACACTTTTATATCAATATGGACATTTTGTATTGTAATTTTTCCAGAACAGGTTATAGATAACCTTTACTTTGCATGAATATATCACCATAGTACAATGAATGCTAAACTTTGTTATTGTAAGTTGATTTTTATTCCATTTTTGTCTCACTATGACAAAGGTGCACAAGATGTTTGGCACTTTGGTACTTTGGCAATTAAATCCTTGTTAAGTTTTGGCTTTCTGTACTAACTGTTGTGTTGTGTTTACAGGGAGAACAGTAGTGTACTAACTGTTGTGTTGTGTTTACAGGGAGAACAGTAGTGTACTAACTGTT